CATTCTACCCACCATCTTTCTGCCACGCTGACTATTCTCAGAGCCTCGAAGGCACTTGGCGTCTTCGAGCTCACCATCTTTCCGCACGCGCGGTTCCGTCCGCCCGAAATAACGTGTAACCACTTTAGCTGGCTAGCTCCTGCTTCCTGTTGAAGTCTCGTCTCAAACGTCACTCTTCCAGAATGGTCTTACCTATAGCTCCCTACTGTAGGGATGTGGCTATCTGCTCCTCATGAGGATCACATCGAGACAGAGTTAGGCCCACCTCTCCCCAACTCTGTCCCCAGCACCGAGTACAAACTAAAACTGGAAAGCATGGCCGATCTGGTAGTGGAGGAAACAGTGCCGGTTCATGACAGGGCTTGAGTCTTGCCAGTGTAGCCTTTGGCGTCTTTACGCTGTAAAGGACCGGCATCTCTGACACTCTGGCTAGAGGGCTGGTGACTCCACTACACAAATGTCATCTCTGCAGTGACACAAAGCCGTCCAGGAGAGTCTGTGACTAACGAGGAGCACATGAGGACAAGAAGCTGACCGACACAGACAGGTGGGTCTCTCTCCCATGTGGCAATAGGTCACTTATGAGAACCACACAGTATGCTCATCTCCAGGGGTAGACATTAGTACCTCCAAGGGTAAGGCCACAAACTAGAAACTCATGAAGCCACCGGTATCTTGAAGGGCAAGACCAACAACCCAGGACTCTTGCAGCCATCTCCCCAAGGGAAAAGAGAAGGAACTGCCTAAGCCCAAAGCACGGAAGCCTGTGGTAGACCTCAGAAATGCTACTGAATCCAGCCTCAGTGGCCTCCCCATCCTAAGATGCCACGGAGAAGAGGTGAGGGGTGGCTGGAAGCCTTACCTTCACGAGGAATGCAGGCCTCTGTCAGGCCCAGGAAAAGGAGGACCACCAGGGACCTCTTCAGAAACGGCTCCAATCTGCACATGGTGGGGCCTGGGCAGGGTGCCTGGCCTTCTCCTTCGAGGCTCAAGAGGACTCTGCTCACTCACTGCTCTCCTGGGCTCTCAAGGCAAAATTCCCTGCCTATACATGCCCTCCAGCTACCCGGAGGCAGTCAGCTGGTGAGACCGTTGCCCACACCCCCAGCTGCTGGCCCAGCAACTGCCCCCCCTCCACTAGCACCTGATATTTATCTCAAAGCAGCACTCTATGATGATTACATGTTGTACCCACTTGCTCGTTTTCCTGTGGCCCAAATGTAACATCTTGTTTGGTGACATTTGTAGCTAACCGTGACTTTTGCATTTTTATTTTTATTTTTTTTAACAGCTGCCATGGTATTTCATTTGTGCTGAAATGTGGTGATATTTTATTTGTATGTTAATAAATAAAGTTTGCCCTCCTAGCTCAGTGTGGGTGTTTTACCTACATATGTTTGTACATCACATGCATTCAGGACCCTCAGAGGCCAGAAGAGGGTGTCAGCTCTCTGGCACCAGAGTTAGGATGGTTGTGAACCACCATGTGGGTGCTGGGACTCGAACCCAGGTCCTCTGGAAGAGCAGCCAGCGCTCTTAACCACGGAGCCATCTCTCCAGCCCCCTACTGGGTATATTGTTGTTTTGAGACAGGATCTCATTTTGTATTCCGGACTAGACTTGAATCCATGGTGATCCTCCTGCCTCAGTGTCCCAACTTTTGGAATTATAGTCCCGTGCTACCACACCAAGAACATTTTTTTTTTTTTTTTTTTTGAGGCAAGGCATCACATAGCCCAACCTAGCCTGGAATTCACTGTGTCACTGAAAACGACCTTAAGCGTCTGCCCCTGATTCTCCAGTGTTTGGGATGGTAAGTGTCACCACTACACCCAGTTTATGTGGTTCCGGGGATCGAGCCCAGGCAAGCACTAAGCATTCTATCATCTGAGCTATACCTGTTCTACATTTTTTTTTGTTTGTTTGCTTGTTTTGAGGGGTGCTGTGGGTGTGTGCACATTCAGACAAGGGCACGTGGATGGAGGTCATCAGACAACGTGGTAGATTTGGTTGTCTCCTACTGTGTGGGTTTCAGGGATCCAACTCAGGTTATTAGGCTTAGCAGCAAGTGCCTTTATCTGCCTTACCTTCTCCCGGGCTCCTCTTTTTGTATGCTTTTAAGGCAGGTTCTTGCAGTCTGGCTGCAAAGTAATAACGAGGACATTCTCTGGGTGGAGAATGGACACGTGTAGTTCAGATGGACTGGGAGATGATGTGAGCATCTATGAAAACCCCTGCAGAGCTGAGTGTGCCAGTTCACTACTGGGGGCGCTGAGGCAGGAGGATCACAAGTTCCCAAGTTCCAGGCAGATCTGGCCTGTGTAGTGAGAACCGTGGGGGAGGAAGGGAGGGAGCGAAAGAGACCTCAGCAGGGGTGTTTGTCATCCCCACCAGCCTGGGAGGTCCTCAAAGGCAAGGACTCTTTTCTCACACCATCCCTAATGTCAACACACGCCTGCTCCACAAAAGGAACTTGGTAGTTATCTGAAAGCCGCGTGAGCGTCCCAAGAGTCCCGAATGTTACTGGTGGAAAAGGTAGGGCTGACTGACTTCAAGTGCTCGCCCTGCTCCTGCCTTGGGATGGGACTGGCTGAGTTTGCTTCCTGTTTCAGACCGTGATAAAAACAGACTAAGAACAACTTGAAGAGGAAAGGGTTTATTTGGAGTTCAGGTTCCAGTCGAAGATCAAAAGTCTAAAGGAAGTCGGGGCAGCAACTTATGGCCGGGAACTGAAGCAGAGACCGTGAAGAAACATGCCTACTGGTTCACTCCCCCGTGGTGGCGTGGTTTGCTCAGCCTCCTTACCATTACAACCCAGCACCATCTGCCTGGGGGGTAGCACCGCCCACAGTGGGCGGCTCCCTCTCACGTCAATCACGAGTCAAGAACCGCCCCCATAGACTTGCTTACTGATGGAGGCGTTTTCTCAAAGGAAGGGACCTCTTCCCAGGTGACGCTAAGTTTGTGTGGAGTTGATGAGAGACCCAAGCCATGCAAGCGCTGGGGTCAGACGAGGAGGGCACTCTGGGCAGCTGCCAAGGACTTCCAGAGCCTCCCTGGGGCTGTGTCTCTGTGTCCGGGTCAGGCAGTTACGTCAGGCAAGGGACAGTGTCAGAGGTGGGGAAGCCCTTCATCGCCTCGGTTCTGCTATCAGTGATCCGTGTCGCACTGACAGAACACTGTAAGCCCCATCCTGGTGAGCCAGCGTTCTGTGTCCTCCCCCAGGTTCGTCTCTACCACCCGCTTTGTTCTCCCAGCCCCAGGCAGTGTCTGCTCCTGGGATTCTACCACCCCAAAGTCCCCTCCAGTCTCCTGCTCCTGTTCCCCTCGCCCCTGTTCAAACCCGGGGACCCTCCCCACCTCTCCCTTCAGTCCTTCCCGCACCTGATTCGCTCTCTGCACTCGCAACACTGGGCTGATGAAGCCCTCTCCAAGCCAGCAGGGCGTTCATGAAACTGTCCCAAAGGAGGAGAGAAAGGAAGTGGAGAGGGAGAGGGGGGGAGAAGAAGAGAAGAAAAGAAACAGGGGACGGGAGGGGAGGGGAAAGGAGGGAAGAGAAAGAAGAAAAGAGGGGGGAGAACAGAGGAGAGGAGAGGAGGGGAGGGGAGAAGAGCAGAGGACAGGAGAGCAGAGGACAGGAGAGCAGAGGAGAGCAGAGCAGAGGACCTCTATTGCTGACTGAGGGGTCTACCCTGAGCCTTAAACTGGGGTATCTCCTTGTCCTCACTTGTCTCTGACACCTTCACTGACAAGCTCTCCCACTCAGGTCACCTTTCCATCTCCAGTCTCCCTTTAAGCAGCGGCTCTCAACCTTCCTAACGCCCCGACCCTTTAATACAGTTAGTTCCTCATATTGTGGTGACCCCCCCCACCAACCATGAAATTATTTTCGTTGAGACTTCATAGCTGTCATTTTTCTGTCATGAATCATAATGTAAATATCAGATGTGTGACCGCCCCCCCCCCGGGGGCCACGGCCCACGGGTTGAGAACCACTGCTTTAGGGGCTTTCCCACCCCAATCTTGGTTTTTTTTGTCGCCATCTGAGACTCCAACATAAACTCGTGCCTTCCATCTCTCCAGCGATGTCTGACTCTGCTCTACACCCCCTGTCCTTGCCTTGCTCGGGGCACCGGCATCACAGGACAACGGATGCATGCGCAGTGTCCATTCAGAGTGACCCGCACTTCCTGGTTGTTTCTTACTGGGGCCAGGGAAGCTTATATTCAGAGACAGGAGCACAGTAGCCTAATACACGCGTGTGGCATGAGGAACTCAAGAGGCTGCTAGGCGCATTGCTTAGTGTGTGTGTGGGCGCGTGTTTGTGCATAGGAAGTGCAAGTGAAGGAGCTGAGCCGCCACAAGGGGGCGTCTGTGTGCGCAATACAAACTAGTGTCCTAGGCTACACTGTCTCCTATACTTCCTGCCTTCGGCAGAAGGGAGAACCAAGTATAATGACACATATGTGCGAAGAGGCCATGATAAAACTCACTACCCTGGCCACCCGGTGGTGGCGCACCCCTTTAATCCCAGCACTCGGGGAGGCAGAGGCAGGAGGATCTCTGTGAGTTCAAGGCCAGCCTGGTCTACAGAGCGAGATCCAGGACAGCCAGGGCTGTTACACAGAGAAACTCTGTCTTGAAAAAGCAAACAACAAAACAAAACAAAACAAAAACTCACTACTCTGTATGCTAGCCTACAAAATGAATTTCATATATATATATATATATATATATATATATATGTGTGTGTGTATGTGTATATATATATGTATATATATATATAAATGTTCATATCATGTGTGTAATATATGCACATTTGACAGCTCTTCACGTCTGCATTCCACATCCTCTGATTCAGCCAACTTCAGATGGTTAAATATTTGAAGAAGAAAAAAAAAATGCACCAAGGCTGGGAGGTGGCTCATTGGGTAAGAGCACATACAAATGTGAGAACCTTAGTTCAAGTCTCCAGAGCCTTCCAAAGAAGCTGGGCATGGTCACGCCCGCCTGTAACCCCCAGCGTTGTCGGGGATGAACAGAGAAAGAACATTAGCTGGCGCTTGCTGGCTGCCAGCTAGTACCATGACGAAGGAGAGCTCCTGCCTCAAAAGAATAGGGTGGAGCAGATCACCACTCCCCCGCCCACACACACACACAAAGAGAGTTACATCCATGTTGAACGTTGCAGACTTCTTGTCACATCACTTCTTCAACAATACAGTGTACTAGTTAAGTTGCATAGAATTTCGATGCATCAGCTGTTATAAGTGTTTTTTTTTTTTTTTTTTTTTTTGGTTTGTCGAGACAAAGTTTCTCTGTGTAGCCCTAGCTGTCCTAGAACTCTCTGTGTAGACCAGGCTTGCCTTGAACTCACAGAGATCCCCCTGCCTCTCCCCTGCCCCCCAGCAATGGGAATAAAGCGTGCACCACCACCACCTGGCCTTGAGGTGATTTAATATGAGATTATGCATAGATTATATGCAAATTGGGACACTTTTTTTTTAAATAAGGAATTTAAGCATCCATTGATTGTGGTTTTTAGAAGCAGATGTTTGAACTACTTTCCCCTGGATCCTAAGGGACAGTTGTTACGTGTGTCTAAATTTTTTATGCACACAAATGTAGATAATTATGCATACACACAAAAATCTTTAAAAGCCACCATCAGTATTAAACTTGTCACTGGAACCTGGAAGCGTGGAGCCTGCCTGTAAACCCAGCACTGGGAAGGTGGAGGGAGCAGAATCAGGAGTTCAAAGCCAGACTTGGTGACTTAGCCAGTTAGAGGCCAACCTGAGCTACAGGAGACCTGGTTTAAAAACAAAACAGACCGCAGCGCAACTGTAGGCCAGTGAGAGGCTCGGCAGGGAAAGGCATTTGCTGCCAAGACCCGCAACCGAAGCTCTAGTCTGAACCCACACGGTGAAGAGAGAGAGAGAGAGCTGACTCCCGGAAAAATGGTCTTTTCTGACTTTCACATGGACAGGGTGGCGAATGCAGACTCTTGTGCATGGCAAAAAGAAAACAAAACAAAAAACTGTAAGTAAAATGGGATCGGGGACAATATAAACATTCTCCATTGTCCTTTCTCTGTGTTATCAGGTGTATTTGATGAACACATGTGTACTCTCTTTAGATCAGACACAGGCAAAAATCACTTTAAATTAATGAGCACTGAGTAAAGGCAGGCCGCCCTTGGGGGCCAGCAATTGACGATGTTTTCCGGGTTCTCGGAGTTAACTTTCTGGTGCTAATTTAAAACCGCAGCTGGCAGGAATTGAACTTCACTCTCCCGGGACTCATTAAAAGTGGTGTTAGGCACTCCCAGGCTCCCACGGGGACTCTCAACAACTCTTATCGCCATGGGATCTTCGTGGCCAATTTACTCCACCCATCCTGTGCTGGCACACACAAAAACAAGCACCAAAGAGGAAAAAAAGATAGCCTTGAGTTGGGCGGAAGGATTTGGGAATAAAGCAATTTGAACCAATTCAAGAGCTAAACTCTGAAATAGCTAGTGAGTGTTGCCGCGCTGTGCTGGGGATTAATTAGCCAGCTGTCCAGCGTGCACCAGAGATGTTTTGACATTGTGTTCTGTCTTCTGCTGTTGGCCTGATGGCAGGCGCCACTGCAGACGTTTCTCCATCCTCTGTGGCTACCTCTGCGCCGGCAGGACAAGTCTGATCCCCAGTCCCCTACGAGTGCTCTCAGCGGGCTCCTGAGCACACTTAGCCTCAGTAATTGGCATTCTTGGAGACACCATTTTACATGTTGGTTGTGTGATTGCTGGTTTTTTGTTTTTCCTGCTCACTAAATATTCCTCAAGAAACTTTGTAATTAAAATGCAAGTGGTGGCTCCCCCAGGTGACTCAGTGGGTAGATGGGGCACTTGGTCCCAAGCGTGATGAAACCTGAGTTCCATCCCCAGGACCCAAAGGATGGTAAGAGAGGCCAATGCCGGTGGGTTATCCACTGCCCTCCATGTGGGTGCATGTGCACAAGGTATAGACACATACAAATAAGCGGATACACAAAACTTCTAGTACCAATAGTTTTCTTGTTTCCAATGACGGAAACTAAGACGGATGAGAAAGCACAGATCTCCCTGTAGATTGCTCTGTATGACTTTCTCTTGTCTCGACATTGTGTACTGTAGAAATTTTTGGGTGTTAAAAATGAAGGCTGGAGAGAGGGTGGTGAAGATGACTGGCTCTCCTTACAGAGGACCTGGGTTCGATTCTCTGCACCCACCACACAGCTCACAAACGTCTGTAACTCCAGTTGCAGGGCATCCAGCGCCCTCTTCTGGCCTTTCAAGGGCACTACAGGTAAAACCCCCATAACGATAAATAAAAATTAAAGGAAAAATAGGGGCTGGAGAGATGACTCGGTATTTAAGAGCATGTACTCCACTTGCAGATCACCTGAGCTGGATTCACCCACAATGGTAGCTTGCAATTCCAGCTCCAGGAGATGCAACATCCTTTTCTGGCCTCTCCGGGCCACTATACTCTCTTGCACACATCCCACTGTCCCCCGACCCCCCAACCACCACACACATATACACATTTAAAATAAATATTTTTTTTTTTAAAAAATGCATAAGCCAGGCATGGCAGCACTTGGGAGGAAAGGGCAGAATGGTTAGGAGTTCAAATCAATCCTCAGCTGTGACGAGGATTTCATGCCAGCCCGGGCTACATGAGAACATGTCTCAAAAAAATGTAATATTGAAAAACAAGCTATGCAGAGAAAAACAATGGAAGCATGAAATTTGCAGGCAAATGGATGGAACTAGAAAAAATCATCCTGAGTGAGGTAACCCAAACCCAGAAAGACGGTCATGGTATGTACTCACTCATAAGTGGATTCTAGATATAAAATAAAGAACAATCAGACCATAACCCATAGAACCATGGAGGCTACATATATAGCATGGAGGTCCCTAGGACGACTGTGGCTTATAATAAATTTTGGTTTTACTCAATTACTGAGCAAACCTCAATGAAACATCTCACTATTAAGATAAGAATACATACTGTATCAAGCTGGTAATAGAAAAATAAATTAATTAATTTTAAACAATTAAAAAAAAGAAAAACCAGCTATGCCCGATGTCACAGGTCTGTAATCCTAGCTACTAAGGAGACTGAGGCATGAAGATCGCAAGTTCAAGACCAGCCTGGACTATAATGAGTTCCAGGACCCTGACCCAAAATTAAAAAAAAAAATGTGACTCAGCAGGAGTATGCTTGTTCAGAATCCAGTGAGAGGCTGGAGGTGTGACTCAATGGCAGAGCACTTGCCTAAGGTGCTGGAGGCCCCAGGATTGATCTTCAGTACTGACAATAAAAAAAAATTAAAATAAAAAAATAAATAAATCCTGGCATAACAAAGACAAGCTATGATCCAAGCAAGAGATCCTTACCTACTAATAACAACCTCATCTATTTCATGGTCGTGAGAACAAAATAACTCACGATGAGATTTACAAACCACGGCAAATCTGAGACAGGGAGACCATTCGGAAGGCGAAGGCACCAGCAAGCCCAGTGACCGGAGTTCTATCCCAGGCTGTGCCAAGGTGGAAAGAGAACTGATCTCCACAGCTTGTCCTCTGACCACCACATGGGCATCAGGACACATATTCACCGACCTCCAGACGAGAAAGAAATAAATGCAGTTAGAACCTGGGGACCTGGAGATGTGGTTAGGGGATAGTGATCTTGAGAAAACCTGAGTTCGGCTCCCGGCACCCACACTGGGCAGCTCACAACCTCCTCTAACTCGAGTTTCCGGGAACGGGTGTTTATCCTCTTCTGGCCTATACACACATACTTAATTTAAAATAAATCTTTATTTTTCCCCAAAACAGGCTTTCTCTGTGTCGCCCTGGCTGTCCTGGAACTCAATCTGTAGACCAGGCTGGCCTCCAACTCGGAGATCCACCTGCCTCTGCCTACAAGAGCCAGGATTAAGGTGTGCACAGCCGTTGCCCCTGCAACATTAGTTTATTGTTGTTGTTTAAATAAATCTTTAAAAAACAAATTTGGGGAGATGGGAATGGTAGGCAAGTTTAGCTTCCCACTGCATGCAAAAAACTCTACGTGACTTCAAATAGATGTGGCTCTTCTTGTTTTACCGGCTAGAATGCATTCCCTCGGGCTGGAGAGTGGGCTCGGGGCTTAAGAGCACTCCCAGCTCTCTCAGAGGATCAAGGCTGCATTCCCAGCGCCCACATGATGGCTCACAACTACCTATGACAGCAGCTGCAGGAGAGCTGATGCCTTATTCTGACCACCACAGGCACACGCACAGTGCACAAGGCACATAATACAAGACATTTAAAGACACTAAGAAGAAAAGCATTCCTTTGTTTGAATCATGGAACGGTTGCAGCATTACCTCGTCAAAGCTGAACCAGCCTGCCCCACAGGTCAGAAAAGGGCCTTTGCTTCCACCTGCTGGACATTTTCCGTAACAATGACACATGCTCACTTAAAACATAAAGAGACAAAACTTTAAATTTATGCTGGATGCCCTGGCTCAAATCTGTAATCCCACAACTCCAGATGCCGAGCAGGAGGATGGCAGTGATTTCAAGGTTAGCCTGGAAAACAAGGAGAGATTCTGCCTCAAAAAGTTTTTTGAGCCCAGGACCCGGCACCAATGCACAGCTGCCTCCCAAACAGATCAAGCCAAATGACTGTCTCACGCATTCAGGGGGCCTGATCCAGTTGGGGGCCCCTCAGCCTTTGGTTCATAGATCCTGTGCTTCCATTCATTTGGTTATTTGTCCCGGTGCTTTATCCAACCTTGGCTTCAACAATTCTCGCTCATATAAACCCTCTTCTTTCTCACTAATTAGACTCCCAGCACTCCATCAGGGGCCTAGCCGTGGATGTCTGAGTTGGCTGTTTGAATCCTGGGACTTATGCAGGGACACTTGGCTTGGCTGGGACGGGGGGAATGGACCTGCCTGGACTGAGTCTACCAGGTCGACCCCGGTCCTCGGGGGAGACCTTGATCTGGAGGAGGGGGAGAACAGGGGAATCTGTGGCTATTATGTTGAACTGAATGGTGTTGTAAAATAATTTAAAAAAAAAGCAAAAGCAAAAAAATTAAAAATAAATAAATAAAAATAAAAACCCTTATTAATAAAAAAAAAAGTTTTTTGAGCTCCACATGGTGGATTTGATGTGCAAGCCAGTAATCCCAGAACTCTGAAGACAGAGGCAGGAGACTGGCCCATCACCATCCTGAGCAGTATCGTTCCAAGTCAGTCAATGCTACATATCAAAACCCTATCTCAAAAAGAAAAAAAAAAAGGAAGGTCTGTCAGTGGTGGCTCAAGCCTTTAATCCCAGCACTTGGGAGGCAGAGCCAGGAAGGACTCTGTGAGTTCGAGGCCAGCCTGGTCTACAGAACAAGATCCAGGACAGGCACCAACATTACAGAGAGAAACCCTGTTTCCAAAAACCAAAATAAAAATGAATAACAACAACAATAAGAATAGTGATAATGGGGACATAAACACAACTATAAAAGTCTTGTCCTTGGACAGATACCAAGAAATTCATTGGAAAATCACATTTTACAGTGTTATGAGGAGAAAAACATCACTCCCATTTTGTGATGCAATGTTGACAACTTGAGAATTACAGCACCAAGTAAAAACAAATATAACAAAAACCTGCCAAGGAGGGGCATCTCAACACTCTTTGCAGAGGTATGAGTCCAATCATAAGTTCATGGCCAATCTGGTCTACATAGCCCAGTCCTCTCTTGTGTTTCAAGCTAGCCTGGGCTACATAGTGAGTTTCCAGGACACCCAGTGACACATAGTGAGATCCTGTCTCAAACACACACACTCATCAGTAGGGCACAGTGAAACACAATTGTCCTCAGACCTTCAAAAGATGAGACATCACTTTAAGTGCTCCGAAGCTGTTGCCATGTAACAAGGGTAACCTAGCAACAGTCTCTCTTGGAAAAGACTTCAATCTGGATACAGACTCACAAGGATGCCTATATTTTTTTTTCTTTATTTTTTTTTTATTTTACAATACTATTCAGTTCTACATAATAGCCACAGATTCCCTTGTTCTTTCCCTTCCTGCCCCCCTCCCCTTCCCCCCAGCCCACCCCACATTCCCACCTCCTCCAGATCAAGGTCTCCCCCGAGGACTGAGATTGACCTGGTAGACTCAGTCCAGGCAGG